TCCTTTCAATTTAATTCAAATTATTCCAAAATCGACAATTTTTCAAAATAAAATGTCATAATTTTAAAATAATATTAATTGATTTTACAAAAAAAATGGTTATGCCAGCTTGGCGACTCCGTTGGGGACTTTTTTTTAGAGAGTCAGGCTGTAAGTCGTTTACACATTATCGTAGTGGTGGAAATTATAAGTACGAGTATATAGTTAACTTATGATTCATTTATTGAGGTTTTTTTCAATTTTTTTCATTTTTAATTGTGATACTAATTTTTTAAATATTTGTTTTTAGCAGTGTTCAAGTCTCTCTTGAGAGTTTTTTTTCTTTAGAGTCAAAGGTTTGTATGTTCCTCCTCACACACTTCACGTGTATTTGCATAACATAAGCTCTAGACATGAGCTTCGATCCAAATAAGTCAGGGTGAATACTTTACTCTCGTAAGAATTTGATCTTTATATGAGTTTTAGCAAATAACCCATGGGATACATACCTTATACCTTCGTAGGGATTTATTCCTTGTATGGGTATAAGAAAGTGAATCCCCTCGAATTGAACTCGTTCCATTTGAAACCTGTAATGGTTCAGGATCGAGAATTTGGCAGCCCAAGGGGCACCGATATCAAGGACAATTCGAGTACCCTTTCCTCATAAAGCTGAAACCATGCGTATAGTGAATCGTAGAATGGTCACCCTAGGTATAGTCATACCGAACCTCTGTATGTCAATAGGTACCCAAAATAGGTGTACACGAATGAGGAACGACTATAAACTTTTACCTGTTATTTTAAATTCATAGAATATATTTGTTATTTTCAAATAAAAGCATGTGAACTAGATACCATGCAGTTAGGATCAATTTCTTGGAAAACAAATCATTTTAGGTAGAAAGCATGTCCGGGTAGGATTACTATCTAATGAAAGCATGCTCTGGTAGATATCATGATTGGATAGGTGTTGTATTTATTTTTATATAGCATCTTTTAATGTTATAGAATATATTTCTTGTACTAACTTATTTCTTTTGTTTTGTTGTGTTATTTTTCATCATTCTTTGCATTGCATTTCATTGACATAACATAATGCGAAAGTGTTTATTCGCAAGGGAATATTGGAGAGAAAATTTTCACAAGAAGTGATAATTTTTTTCAATCAAGCATGCACCAAGGGTTAAAAGAAGTTCAGAGTATAAGAATGAGACTTGTTCGAAGATCGTGCATCATTCGAGACTGAAATGATGATCAACTGATCCATGGAGTAATCCGGCAGTAAAGCCTTATTTACGATCATTTTATAGCTAGTCATCAAGGGGCGACGCACTGACTTCAGCACCGTCGAGCATTAATGGAGTTAGGTTATAGAACGCTTGAGGGGCATCATTTTCAAGGACAAAGATCCAAGACGAAGCAGTGATCCACTTTCGACTCAACATCTAAGCGAAAGCATGTCTATAAAATGGACTATCTTGCAATATGAAGGCTTTTATCTCTGGTGGAAATTGTTCTATGATATTCATCATTGGGATTAATCTTTTCATTTTAAGCATTTTCACATACATTATTCATGAACAAACGGGAAATAATTCATAGAGAATTCGATAACTATGGTCCTAATTACGTGACACCATATGGAAGCAAGATTTGAACAATTAAAGAAAGAAGCTGAAATCAGTACAGTGAAAGCCTATTCAGCTAGTCGTAGGGCTTAGCCTTCTAGGATGATCCGAGAAAAGAGTCCCCATACTCAGAAGCTGAAATCAATACAGTGGAAGCCTATTCAGTTTTTCATAGGGCTGAGCCTTCTAGGATGGTCCAATAAAAGAGTCCCCATACTCTGAAGGCTACGATGTTGATGTTGTGTGCAGTTACCATATAGAAAGCTCCAGACATTCCCCTGAGAACTGTGGGGCATTAAATCTAGGTTCAGAATCTGAATGATTCTGGGGTATGGACAGTCGAAGAATGATGGGGCATTCTAATGATGATCAAGATGTCTTTGTATATACCACTTGCATCGAGAGCATTGTTTTGTTTGAACTCGTTTTTGTTCTGTCTTTAATATTTGATTGAATATTTTAAATCTTTTAATGATTGGATTTATGCTACCTTCTAAGGTTGAATAACTGAGTGAGTTTTAATTTTGTAGTTCCTCGAATATCGAATGAATTACATATTCTTTTAATTCTTCAAGTATTATAGATTTTTGACATATGACAAGATTAGACCCTTTTTATCCCATCCAAAACCAAAAAAATAAAACCTCCTGATTCTTTACCCGAAATAATTCATGGTCATTACCAAAAGACCAAATTTTGACATTTCCTCTGTTTGAGACTTTGAAGTATTACCTTTATCTTTTTTGAGACACAATTTCATACCATTACCTTTCGTTGAGCCAATAAAGTCACAACATCGTCTTCTTAGACGCAAAACCAACATTTTTTCTACCAATAAAACCTGAAGGCATTGAGTACAAGATGTCCACATGAACGTGAACCTTCCTACAAAAAGACACAAGATGAAGCATCTCGAATCACTACAGCAAAACATAGTTTTAGCGGCGGTTTTTTAGTCCTACAGCGGCGTTTTTAAGCGCCGATAAAAGCACTTGCGGCGATAGGAAAAACGACGCAAGAAGCGTCGGCCATACCAGCACCGCTAAAGTTAGCGGCGTTTGAGAACAAAAAATGCCGCAAAAGGTCGAGATCTATAGCGGCGTTTGTTCCTTGGAAAAAACGCCGTAAAAGGTTGACATCTATAGCGACGTTTTGAGAACAAACGCCACAAAAGGTTGACATCTACAGTGGCATTTTTGGAACAAACGCCGCAGAAGGTCAGATCTATAGCGGCGTTTTTGGAACAAACCCCGCAAAAGGTCAGATCTATTGCAGCGTTTTTGGAACAAACGCCGTAAAAGATCAAGATCTATAATGACGTTTTGGAACAAACGCCATAAAAGGTCAAATCTATAGCGGCGTTTTTTGATACAAACGCCGCAAAAGGTTAGATCTATAGCGGCGTTTCTGGAACAAACACCGCAAAAGGTCAAATCTATAACGGCGTTTTTTGATATAAACGCCGCTAATTACCTTTCTTTAGCTAAGATGATTTTGCATATTTCATTTTTGCTCTACATCACCTAAATTTAATATCATCTAGCTTTATCTAATTAACAACAATCATACATTTTAATAAAGACACGAGTTATGCAGAAAAATACTTAACAACAAAATAAAATAAAATTTATAAACATTAAAATTAAATGTAATGTAGTTTAACATTGTTCTTTAGAATTTAGTCTACTTTCTTTCACTTTCAATTAAAAAAATATTGTTTACTAGAATTTAGTCTTCATTGCTCCTTCGTGGGGAAAGGAAGTAAAAAATCCCCTAGCTCCAGTTCACTCCTTGCGCGGACTTTTGCTTCAACCAAATGCAAACAAGGAGTCTGGAAGATACAAAAATATAAGAAATACTAATAAGAATCAACATGAAGCTTAATATAGAGAAAAAAGGAAACATTTGACATATAATCAACCAGCACAAATCCATAACTCTGAAGAAAATTTTCACTTTTCACTAGATACAATAAATATTGATGGAACAAAAATAGACAGCCCACCCAGACCACAGAACATGCTTCATTAACAGATGACTATCGACATTCAACAAGTTATTTTACTAAGAAAAAATGTAAATACAAAAGGTATCATGTTTAAACCACAAAACGAGAGAACCATAGGTTAAAAAGGAGAGTTTGAGTGTTCATTTTTTTAATCAAGATCACAATTAGGTTAGCCTTCAAAGTAAAATACTAATAAAAGTGGAGTTACCTGAAGGCTTTGACAACACTTTTCAGCTCAAGATCTTCCAGGATATTTCTTGCACTTAAAGGAATATTGCATCAGCCAGAAATTTGATAAGAACAAAAATCGGCTAATTGCATTTGTTAACAAAAATACATCAAGTTAAACGGACATGCATGGAGCATTCATCAAAGAAAGAGAAGGCGTAAATCCTTTTGATCATGTAATTTTATTCTAAAGACAAAATATGGGTCATATCAGAGAGATGCATAAGCAAGGTAAAACAAATGCAGAATCATCCATGAACATATTAATTACCAATCAAAAGCCGAAGAGGGATGCGAGGAAAATATTCTTGTCAGGTACCCCTTTCATGTAAAATATACTTACTGTGGTGCTTTAACAGTCTAACTGCCAAAGAGCTGAATCCACATTGAGGAAAATCAGGCACCCCTTTCATGTAAATCATCACAAGGTTTTCCTTGACATCCTAGAATAACGGTTAATCACAATCATCAATACCATAGCTTATGCAATAAAGAAAACTTTATTTTCCTCAAGGAAGAGAAAATGCCTATAAACCTCAACAATGATGTCCCAACCAAATTTCAAATTCAAGAAAGGATCTATCCATGTTCCATGCTACCAATAACATAATAAATCAACAAAATGATCCTAAGACAAATTCTCAACAATCACCCTAAATCCATTTAGTTTTAATGATATCACACCTTATAGTTCTTTGATTGCTCATCTAATGTGGGCTAGAAAAACTCAAGAAGCATTTGTCATTAAACTTGTTCTAGTCTCTCTAATGGCCAGAAAATTCATGAAGCATCCAAAAAATCCATGAATTTGATAAATAAATACGAATGTTGTATGAGACTATGAGTACTAATACTATAAAGTATAAACAAATGAACTGTTTAAGTTCTCCATTACAAACCACATTATTTTATAATGAAATGTTTCTTAGAGTAGAGAACTTCAGAAAATTAGACAGTAACTTCTTAGAGTAAAGATACTCGCAACCATTGCTCAAATAAATGAAATCAGAAACCTACTCAAGCTTTAACATTAAGCAACGCTGCCAAAACACATCTTGTAGGTTTATGAGTGAAAAAGGAGTAATAAGCAACCAAATTAATGGTTAACTAATCCAAACTATTAGCATCTTAACCACAAGGATAATATCCTGAAAAGATAACACTAAATTTCATCAAATGGCATACCAATCTCCTCAACTTCGTGAGCAGCAATTTCAGAAGGAACGTGAACAAAAACCATTTGGCTCTTTTGAGTGGAATTCTGCAACAATACTGGCATATTAGTTAAAATGCTCCTCCAGTACGACCAAAGGTGGCAGCTTCTTTAAAAAATTATCGTCAGTTGCAGTTATTCTCAACATCCAAAGGGGTGCATGTCTGCCTCAACAGGTAAGCCCCTTGGTTCCATAAGATAAAAAGAAAAAGATGCACTCAGATTGTTCATACCTCCTTAACCTCCTCAACATCATAGTACGCCTTAGTGGGTATCCCCAACTCCTTAGGTTGGACATCAATAATCACCATGACAAGATTTGGGACATAGCTGAACACCAGAAGAACTTGATTAATCGAATGAAGTAAAAAATAAAATAAAATAAAGAACATAATAATAAGTGAAAACTAATAATCGTACTTGTGGAATAATCTGTGAATGTCTATATCATTCTCCCGTAATTTTGGGCCTGTACTATACCAACCAACAACATGCTCCTTCGCTGCAACAAATATCAGAGGTTCACATATCATATAATGAAGGATGACACTTGCCCCTCCCCTTCCTAGACAAAACAAGAAATGAGAGAAATAACAAATTAAAATTGGCACCATTATTTACTCTGAGTTGAGAAAAGAGTTACCATTAATCCTCTTAAACATTGATTCATGGTAGTTGTGGTCAAGGAACCATATGCTCGTGTCCTTCTCATCTTCCTCAAAAGGCACTGATAACAATAATAATAATGGTGAAAAAGCCTTAATACAAGCTCAATCTTAAGAAACTAAAGCATCAATGCATGAGGTTGGCCAGAGAGCTTAATCAAATGTTTCTCTAATGAAAGCACCTTCAATTACATACATTTCCACATCCGTTTAAAAAAAGAAACTATAAATGGAAATTTAGGTCAAGGAATCTAACAAATTACCTTCAATTCAAATTAAACATTTTAAAGGTAAAAACCCTAAAACCCAAAATTTACTCTCAGCAACCAGCAATCTCGCAAGGTATGAATATAAGATTTCAACAACAACAAAATAACGACATTATGTAATCCAAAATCAAAACAAATAAGATCTAGAATGAAATTCGAAGGAACAAACATAAAGAAAAGAAGGGAGAAGAACATGCGTAGCTGTTGTTGACGTCAACGGTGCCTTTGAAGGAGGTGCCAAGAAGGACTCCGACGCGCTTGCGGGTGCCAACCTGCGACACGATTGTAGTTGTCGACGATGCTAAGAAGAACCAAAGGATGAACTGTCACCTTCTCGATTGGCCGAGATGATATTTGCTGGGTTTTGATCACATCTATTTCTATTTACCATTTTTTTCTTCTTTTTTTTCCTCTTTGATTTATCTCTACGAAAGTGTAAGCTTTTTCTGCTTGATTTGCTTTGGCTTCTTTGCCTCTCTTTCTAGTCTCTACTGTGAGTATTTCTTACCACACAGGAAACTCCCAAGTAATTTCAACCAAAATTATTCTAAAATCAGTGAACAAACGCCACTAAAGTACTGATAAATTGCCACGTTTGTATAAAAAACCCACTAAAGTATGAGTCTTTAGCGGCGTTTGTATAGAAACGCCGCTAAAGTACTATTATGTTGTGGCGTTTATTGAAAAACGCCACTATAGGTAAATACTATTGCGGCGTTTGTTTAAAAACGCCGCTAAAGTTCTAATCTGTTGCGGCATTTATTAAAAAAATGCCACTATAAGTGAATCCTATTGCGGCGTTTGTATAAAAACGACGCTAAATACTAATCTATTGCGGCGTTTGTCAAAAAAACGCCACTATAGATGAACCCTATTACGGCATTTATAAATAAACGCCGCTAAAGTTACCATTTTGTGGCGTTTGGAATGTAAACGCCACTATATGTTTAAAGTTAGTGGCGTTTACTCTCAAAACGCAAAAAACGCCGCTAAAGAACAATTTTGTTGTAGTGAATCAACTTTATGAAGTTGTCCTGAACAATTGAGACATGCTAGAATCAAAAAGAAAGAAGAAAAAGGAAATTAATTCAAAATAATTCTATCATGCATTAATTACATTGTTTTCATGTGAATAAAAATTAATCCTGAAAATCTATCCCCCTGAGGATACCTCTTTTGCAAAGACTTCTGTGTATGAAAGGATGAACGACTTTCTTTCATTATCCCTTCACAAAAGGAGAAAATATATATCCCTTGTGTCCCCATTTGAGCCTGAATTATGTTTTCTTCTGATTCAACCTTAAACAAGGATCACCCTCCACACTGGGGGCAAAGTGAAGGAAATATGCTTGCATGAGCAAATATCATCAATCGAGATAGGATACTGAAAGGTGAACCAAATGAAAAGTGCAAAGATCACATCAAAGCAAAGAAAAAAGCAAAGAAAAAGTAAAGAAAAAGAAAAAAAGCAAAGAAAAAAACAAAAGAAAAAAAAAACACAGAGAAAAAGAGAACAAGAAGCACATGCAAAGAGTCCCTCAAGTTAAATGGCACATCGAGATTCAAACCACAAGATTGAGCAATTACAATCGGTACAATCATTCCAAAATCAGTTCACCAGAAGTTCATGGAACAATCAGAAGAAAATAAAGAACACATATGAGAATATTCAAATCAAGCTAGACAAGATTGAAGACATCATAATAAATTGATCCTTGGTTCAATTATCCTTAAACACTTGTTTGGGCCTATTTATCCATTTCTTTTATAACAATGAACCATGGCCTACATTACATGCCTTAAAAGTCCCTTGTAATCATACATGGATTTCTAAACATAATAGACTATCTTCAGATCTCATCCCACCCATCAAGATTAATCTTTTATTTACAAAAGGTTTTCTAAAATCTTTAATGCATGATAGAAAAAATAACAAAGCGGGTTCAAGATTTAAATTATGAATAATGTCTTGAAACCAAAGGAGGATTCGAGTTGAAAACCTAAAAAGGCGGCTTGAATATAAAGATTATGCAGCTGTTGTATAGAAAGTGATATCACAAATCCCTTGATAAGGGTATCGCACAACCCGAATGTGATCAGGGAAGCTGAGAACTGGAGAACACCCCAATAAATGAGCATAGAATCTACTCCATCAGAGCAGTGAACATCAGAGAAATGAGAATACCAAACCTTTGACCAAAGACAATAACCTGAGACATTTTATCCTTTACTTACTTAACCCTACCTAAAAAATAACATTAATCTTGACACTTGTCAAATAGTAATATTTTTTTGAAGGATTAAAAGTGTAATTAATTCTTTGATATCCAATGAACTCTTGTTTTATGATTTGTCTCAATTGTGAAACCTATAAAGGAGGATTATTTTTTAAACTTTTGATTAAACATTTTTTAAAATTCTTTTAATTGATATTTTTCAAATTTTTGAATATAAAAGAAGAATAAAAACATTTTCAAACAAGACAATCTCTCTGTAGTTGCTCTTGGTAGTTGACACGTGGCTTTCAGATACAAAGTTCATGCTTAGAATCGGTGCTGAAGTAAGAAATGATGAATGTTGGGGCATTTTTGGAGGCTCATATCATCCATGAGTGCAACATCATTAAATTGAACGGACATCAATGAGTCAGAATAATGTGAGAAAAATGAAAATGGTGAAGCAGAGACAGTGGAACTTACCATATATGATTGTTTTGTCCAGTATCACAACATACAATTACATTGTTTTGGTAATCACACATGCATTAATGTTCGACATCCAACAACGCCATCCACAGATTCAACATCCTAAAGGGAATGATCAGACCTTCTGAAGGCATTTCCTCAACACGCAAGAACAAGAATAATGTCTGTCGCCTCTGAGATTATTTCTCTCGAAAGGGTCATCTCACTAGAGACAATTTTTCTTAAAAACAAATTTTGTCTCGGTTGAGACAATTTCTCTCAAAACAAATTTCGTCTCGCTTAAGACATTTTCCTCAAAACACTAAATTTAAAAATTAATTCATTTAAAACAAACCCTAAAATCTTTGAGATTGTTTCCCTTGAAACGAATTTCATCTCTCTTGAGACAGTTTCTCTTGAAATATCATCTTTGAGATCGTTTCCCTTGAAATGAATTTTGTCTCTCTTAAGATATTTCTCTTGAAACATCATCTTTGATATCGTTTCCCTTGAAACGAATTTTGTCTCTCTTGAGACAGTTTATCTTAAAACAACATCTTTGAGATCGTTTCCCTTGAAACGAATTTTGTCTCTCTTGAGACAGTTTCTCTTGAAACATCATCTTTGAGATCGTTTCCCTTGAAATGAATTTTCTCTCTTAAGACAGTTTCTCTTGAAACAAATCCTTAAAGATGGCCAGCCGTCCTCATCACGTAGGAACTGTGTTATCCACCGACCAGACCTCCTCATCACTTAGGAGTTGTGTCACCTTAGATAACTAGCCGTCCTTATCACGTAGGAACTGTGTTATCATCCCTAAAGATGGTCTGCCATCCTCATCATGTAGGAACCATGTCATCCACTCACCAGACCTACTCATCACGTAAGAGCCGTGTCACCCCTAGATAACTAGTCGTCCTCATCACGTAGTAATAGTGTTGTCACTATTCTTAAATATGGTCAGCCGTCCTCATTGCGTAAGAACCGTGTCATCCACCGACTAGATCTCCTCATCACGTATGAGCAGCGTCATCATAAAAATGACCAGAACTCTTCATCACGTATGAGCAGTGTCATCCCCAACAACAAACATATCAAATTTCTAGGAAAAAGGATAATCAGACAAAAACTTGACTTTTTCGTCTTTGCACTATTCTTCTGTTAAGGGGCAGCTATAGACACCCGTTTTTTTCTTGGCTAAAAATATTATTAATACTATTATTATTATTATTATTATTATTATTTTAACAATTATGTTATTACATTTTGTAGGCCCAAAAATAGATCCCAAAAAACAAAAACCAAGGCCCAATTACAACTAAACCAATAGCCTAAATACAAACCATGTTCAGGCCCAACATCCAGGTCTCGACCCAGGATTCGACCCAAGCCCAATCAGTAACCTTAAACCATGTTAGGGTTTCATCTCAACAAGTTAGTCGTCGCCAATGAAGATCAAGCAATTATCACCGGCGCCTGTGACACACGCACCCAACATTCCAGCTCCCCATTAGCGCGTGGACTCCACCGCTCGTTCCCCCGCCGCGTGAGCCACTGCCAAGCATGCCCGAGTCACCGTCGTAATAATGTGGTCGAACAATACCCAAAACAGTGTAAAATCAATCAAAACATTTACCAAGTCATAAAACCATACCTAAATCCCTAAAAACTAGGATTTTCACCTACCAAGCCCATACCAAAATCAGAGATATCATTACCCATTGAAAATCCACATGCAACCATAAAGAAAGGCAAGGAAGGATTCAGAGGCATTCGGTGGGGTGAGATAACAAAAGAAACCTATTCAAAAAACCAGAAAAGAAAAATAGAAAAAAAATAAAACCAAACAAACAAGAAATTAGAAAATGTTACCTTTCGGAGCCACCACTGTCGTCGCCATTGCTTCACTGAACCAAGAACCCCTTTGTTTCAAATGTAAGGGTTTAGTTTTTAATCGGGTTGTGGATGGGGGCTCGGGTTTAGGTTTGTTTTAGGAGGAGTAGAGGAGAAAGAGTAAAGAGAGAGGCTATGGGTGTTGAATCCCCGTGGCCACCGTTCCATGGTGGCTAGGGTTGTAGTTTTTCTCTTCGACCGTGGGGAAAAGGGGAAGATAGAGAGGAAATATAATGAACGACTGAGAAAGAGGTGAGGGAATGAAAGAATAGGGTTTCATGAAACACTTAAAGGGGTTATATTTTAACCATCAAACGACATCGTTTATGCGGGATGGTTTCAGCGTGTTTTGAGAAAGGGGGTAATTACAGTTTAGATCCTTCCTCGTTTGTATTATTTTATTCCAATCATTAATGAAAGTTTTATTTCTTTTTATTTGGAGCTCGTGTTTTGTTAATGTTGCAATTTAGCCCTTATTAGCCTTTAATTACTTGTATGCATATATTTAAGTTGAGGTCATTGTACTTTAACATTATTTATAATTGTGCAATATATGTTTTCATTAGTTCATTTTAGTCCCCTGTTTTCTGTTATCTTATCTTTGGTTAAATTTCTGTTAGAGTCATGGCATTTTATTTTCTTCAATTTTAGTCCTGCCTACTATTGTGGTTTTATTATTCTTTCAGTACTTTTGTATCATAATATTTACATATTGATCATATTATTTTACTTAAATAATGAGTAATGGTTCTTTTATTATTTGATTCTATGTGGTTTTATTCCAATGTATATGTATATATATATGTAACGATTCATTTGTGTTGAATGTACCCAATGTATGTGGATAGATTATGTGTATTTTATTTTGTTAAATATCCATGACTTATATATGGATTATGATTTCAAATATGTATATTATTATTAAATCATGTTCATTTATTTTGTATATGTATGCAACAATAGATGTTATATCCATTTACTTCCTTCTATTTTTGCATTTTGTACGTATTTTATACGATTTGTATATTTAATATTTAAATATGATTTGCTCTTTGGAATTGGTTTTGAATGATTGTACAAAATATTATTTCCATTCATTATAATGTTTTTTATTTGAATATTTTCAAGAACAACGATTTGTAGAATGGGCGTGGAAAGCATTACTTGATCGAAGTAGTGCGATCCGAAACGATATTCGAACAAAATGTGAACTTGAAATAAATCAATCTTATTTTGCTAATTAATTCATTTTTATTTTAAGTTGAACAATGAAATGCATGTTTCTAAATAACAATTTATTTTATGCAAAATACCGATTTTTTTAATTTATATTCGAGTTGCGTTTTTTAATAACATTGACGAGAGGGGAAATATTTTTTGTATAAGGGAGAAATAGACGAGATAACCTTCTCATTGGAGGATGTGCAAATCTCGTGATTTCTTCTCGAATTAAGAAATGTTCCTTAATAAATAATTTAAAGCAAATTAATTAAATTTGATAAATGGATCATACTTTAATTATCGATGTGAATTCATGATTTCCACCATTCTGACAATGTGTAAGCGATTGAGTACCAATTTTGGCGTTGTGGGGTATTTATCCTTCCCCACGCATAACCGACTCCCGGACCCGTTAAAATGAATCTTTGATAACACAGGCCAATTTTTGTCTTAAAAAACGGTTTTTCCTTAAAATTGTTTTAAAAGACGTTTTTAGGTATTCAACCTACCTAACTCAAAGGTCGATGTCGACTCCTTTCAATATAATTCAAATTAATCCAAAATCGATAATTTTTCAAAATAAAAAGTCATAATTGTTTTTTTAAATAATATAAATTGTTTTAAAAAAATGATTATGACAGATTGAATAAGAGAGACCAACTAGTGGATAGATGTTGTGCGAGTAACCAGGATACCTGAATGTTTTAAAGGAAAAGCACTTAGAGAATCAAAATTCTAGTAAATCATGCATGCTTTGCCTGAGGTTTTGAACTGGATCTAACCCGTAAGGAAATGCGTATTGCGGGATGAATTGACGGTAAAATGCAGGAGTACCGGTCGTTGAAGGGGGCATCACCTGAGCTGGTGGAGGGCTAAATTTGTCCATCTCTGTGACATCTTTTTAGCAATCAAATGATATGTATGTAAGTATGCATAAGCAATCATCTGTTATATCAAAGTAAGGGTTGGAATTTGAAATGAATACCATCTTGAGAGTGGGAGGCTGAAGTAGGACGATTCTTGTGAGCGCCAAAAGCTGCGAGATTACAGTTTGCTCTTCTTCCATCAATCACAGGAAACGGATTATAACAAGCCCTGGTCGCTGAATCAGCCTCTTTATACGTTACCTACACCATGCCATAAGTTGAAAATTTTAAAACAAAAACCAAACAGAGGAGAAAAAAGATAGAGAAGACAAAGCCACAGCCTTTAGATTTTCCAGTGACTTTGTCGTTGATAACAACAGCTTCAATGATCTCTCCGAACTGCTCAAAGTAAGGTTTCAAGGCATCTCTTTTAGTTTCCCAAGTCAAACCTCCGGCAAAGATCTTGGTGTAAGTTGTGTCTCCACCATGACCAAACCTAACGGCATTGGTGTTGGTTTCGAATGCCATCTTCTTCAACCCTCATTCAGACGAGTGAACAGGCCAAGACACACTGGAAAAAAAAGAGGAGACAAAGTGAGAAAGGAGCCGTTGGATGACAAAAATATGTTTATGGACTGTATCCAATCACATCAAACAACTTGAAGCTTTTTCTTCTTATCATCCATGAATTTAGATTAAGTTTTAATTACTACTACTACGTATTACAATTACTCTTGTTTTTAAGAAGTATGTATTATATTTAATTAGTCACACTGTACTTAAACATTATTTAATTAGTCAATACAATATATATTATACGTAAAAAAATATTTTAAGTTTATTGATTAGAAAAAGAATTTTAAATCAATAAATTATTAATTTACCGATTACTTAATACCTCTTTAAATTATTGAAATTATGTATTCGTGATATTATTAATTTATAAAGACTTTATTATATTTAATAAGAGAAAGTTGATGACAAAATACTCGTTTGTCAATTTTTTTTGAAGTATACTTTTTCCTGATAGAATTACCCCTTAATTGTGTTTCATTGACATCACCAAAACCAAAGCATGATGTAGTAATGCAAGTAGAAATTTGTTATAATTATAATAAATTGTAGGGGTAGTAGAATATGCAGGTGCATAAAAATAATAGCTCTTGCCTTTTTATTAAAAAGAAAAATTCTGACTAAGTGGAGGATAATTAGATTATGTAGACTGGGTAATCCAATACACCTTTGGAATCCAACTGTCGGTCTTTATTTTATTCTATCTAAATGTTTATATAATTAATAATAATTTTAATTGTAATGAGAATATTACATTACAGCGGGTTTTAACATAATTATGTTATTTGTCTATTTTAAAGAATTATGCAATTAATAATAATTTTAGTTATAATCATAAATGTCTCGACCAGTGACGAACTCAAAAAAAATATTATTGACTGGGCCAAAATAAATATAATAGAAAATAATCTAATATGAGTATAACTCACATATATAATCTTACTGTTTAAAATTTTAATAACACTAATTTAAGTGTCTCTTAGAAAAAAAACTTAGTTTTCTCTCATTGGTATGTCACTCGTCTCTTTTCTTTTTCGTCTTTGTTGCTCGCGGTAATACCAACTTTAATATTGGTTGCCGACCACCAATATTCTTTATTATCTTTTTCTTCTATATATCATATCTTTATTTTTCTTTTGTCTTTTGATTTTCAATAAGTTTCTTTGTGTTGCACGTTTTAATATGCTTTTAAGGCATATTTTCTTACGTTTTTTGGCATGTTTTCGGTTCTTTGATAGTTTTTTATTTTATCTTTTTCTAATGGTTGATTTGACATATCTACGACTGGTCAAAAGATGACGCTTATCTGATATCTTGTTGATCTTCTCTATTTTAGACCCTCAGATTTGATTTGGATATCTGATTTGCGTTCGTGAATAGCTTTTCACTCTGCTTGAATCTGATTTGCGATATACCATAGTCTTTCAATAGTTTGATCCCTTTTTGTGGTTCGTTTGCCGATACAATCAGATCTGTTTGTATTTATATTTGTTCGAGTTTCTTGGTTAGATTTAATCTTCATTGTATGATTCTTAAGTGATCTTAAGTTACTAATTTTGTTTCAATAATTATAGGAAATTTTCCTAATTATGTGCTTAGATTATTATTGTAAAATTTTATTGTAATTTGAGATATTTCTTATTTTGAATAAAATTAGTTACTTCTATAAAAAAAATAATAACAACTAAAACTAGCATAACTAAATGTTCCAAAAAAACTTTCAAATTTATGTAAAAAATATGTAGTCTGAGATATAATATTTTTATCAATTAAGATGAACTCTTATTTTCAAAGAACCAAATTCATCTATGATCGAAACAAAAAATATTAAATAATGAAAAATTGTTGAACAAACGGCTAATAACATCATAAGTAATTAAAGAATACAATAAAAACAAAGCATAAAAATTCAAAAAAATGTAATAAAAAAACTTGCAGAAGAAGATTAAAAACTCAAAATCTCAATTAAGATATTCGCTTACCTTTAGGCTTTAAAAATAATTCTTTGAATTTAAATATATATTTAAAAGTTAGAAGAAGATATATCCTAATTTAAGATTTATTTTAAAGAGGTAAAATTATAGTTAAACTTGAAATTAAATAGGACTTTATTTAATTTATTTTTTATTAAATAAGATTATAATTAAAACTAAATGTAATAAAATTTACATATATTTGTTATAGAGAACGGAATATTTTTGGTATCAATCTAAATGTTATCTAACTTATTCTAAAAAATTACGCTCTTGATAATTTTTTCGATTTTTATTTTTTTTAGCTTTATACTATTAACCGTTTGTATTTTAGATTCATAAATGTGACATGGTCCTAAAGAACAAGCAGTATCAAAGGAGACCAGTAGCTGATCTAGAAATTAAAAAATGAGAGTCCAAAATTTTAATATTTTATTCTAAAAATTTTGTTTATGCAAATTTTCTTATTTTCTTCTATTCCCATTAGCGAATTAAATTAAATTTAATATTTTTCTCAAACTAATGGGTGTGTAATGGCTCCTCTATGGAGCCATGTACATCCGCCCCTAAGACCAATAGAAGCAAGGATGATCAAAGGGGGAGCGGGTGGTAGTAGTCGTTGAAGCTGGTCAACTAAGACCTTGCAGGCATTTATTTGGAATTACCCCGTGCATGGCAGCTATCGTAGTGTATTCTGTATGGCTGGTAGGACCAGCAAGGCAAAATGCAAATCCAAGTAAAGGTAAAATGTTTCATACAGTGCCATAACCACCATAAATTTTCTGAACAAACCAAAATTGAATTCTATTGCAGTCCAACTGAACTCAAAGGTTTTGACTTGTCTATCCAATGACATCGCCAACTCATACAATACAAAACTCCATTACTGTTATACTTCAACACTCGACTACAAAACACCATACCTTTTAGCATAATTATAGCGTTTCACAGCTTAATAAGTATTAATATGCCCATGGTGACCGTTCCCAAATGCAAGGACTAGCTATGACCTTGTCAGTTTGCAGACAAACCCCATATTTTGTTCCTTTCCTTCCATTTATATCTCTCTAGCCTCTTACACATTAAAGATACTCCAATGCTCCTATCACTATGAGTTCATTATTACATGTACGTAAATCACCATTAGTCTTCATTTAAATTTTGTAGCTGTTTTAGTTTAAGCTTTGCTTATGGTGCCAACTCATATTTTCATGGGGGAAGATTGGAGGAAAGTCTTAGTTGACTGCAGTGAAGATGGCTTTTAGGTGGAAAGAAGATAAGGTTACTAATTTCTCTACCTTTTTGCTTTTGTGTTACTGTTTCATACCATCAACTTTAAACCTATGTTGCTTTTTCCACCCTTGATTTTGAGCAGAAAATAGGAAAACGGAGATGGAGTTTTAAGAAACCTTCACATCGTGAAACTGTAATACATCACCGTGAAGCAAGGACTATAACTACTACAAGAAGTACTGCTAAAGCGGCCACCATACCTGACGGTGATGAAGCTGAGCAAAGACATGCCATTGCGGCGGCCATTGTCACAACAGCGGCTGCTCAAACAGTAATAGCGACGGCCCAAGCAGCTGTCCAAGTTGTTTGCCTCACTACGCCTTCCATTTTCGACAGACAACATCTTTCTGCCATTGTTATACAGAGCTTTCAGAGGACATCTGGTAACTAAATATTTGTTTCTTGCTGTCACCAAGTAAATATATTTCATATTTGGGATAACAAGTAGTACTCGTTGTTTTGAAGGCAAGGAGAGCTCTTCGGCCACTAAAGGGGCTGGTGAAGATTCAAGCCTTGGTGAGAGGTCACAATGTTCGTAAGCGAGCAAATCACACTTCGATGCATGGAGGCCATGGTTCGAGTTCAAGCTCACATGTGCAATCAACGCAAAATCTTTCTGCTCATGAAGGGAGCACAGAATCCGTATTTAATGACCCCAACAGCATGTTGAGCTCGCATCTTGTCGACAAAATGTCCATCGTAAGAAATACTACTTTCATAAAGATGACTTGCACATTAACCGGAAACAACTTGTGTTTTGTTTTGCTAAATGGTCTTGTAAGTTGTGGTGCAGTGTAGAGAAGAGAGCTGCAATGTCAATGAATGGGTACAATGGGACGAGCACCCAAAAACACAGGAGGAGATTCAAGCCATTTGGCAGAAAACAAAGGAAGCTACCTCGAAACGTGAAAAGGATCTTGCTCTTGCCTTATTCCACCAGGTTGAATGACTCTGATATGTGTTGTTTACTAGATTTACAAAATAACTGATGAAAACATTTTATGCATCTGTTTCATCAAGAAAAGAATTGGAGAACAGAGGGAGAGACAGTCGAAAGTGAGGAAGAAGTGGAGTGAGAAACCTCTAGACCCGTAAAAATGGTGGACAATGATGCAGCGGGACAGTAGTAGAGGACAGATGTCGTGTGACCAAATAGATCCCGTAAAAATGGTTGAAATAGATACCTCTAGACCCATAAAAACGGTTGAATTTGATACCTCTAGACCGTACTCCAACCAACAACAGAGGCCTATTTCATTTTCTGAGGTTTCCCCTCTCCACAAAGCCAACAAGGGTCTCCCCATTCGCTCAATCACGCCATCAAAACCAAACCTCTCCAAATGTACCCAGCTAGCCCTCGCAACCTTAAAGAAGAGAAGAGCCCATCCCCAGCTCATACGCCCAACTCAAGAGTATACACCCATGGAATGAGTGGTAATAAATGCTGGTGTTTGCGCAGGATTTCCAAACTATATGGCATCTACATTATCTGCTAAGGCTCGATTTCGGTCCCAAAGTGCACCAAAGCAGAGGCCTTCGAGTTCAACCATCGTAAAGGACAAAGTTGGATGTGTCAAAAAAACGTCCGTCATTTCCAGTTTCAAGGCAACATGGTGATCGAGTTTATGATTATAATAATTTGGAGCACACAACCAGCTCGTCAACTTGTTATGCGGATCGCCTTGGGGAAGAAATCTTTCCACCTTCAAGGTGATAATAGGGAGTGGTTAAGGTGAAAAAGAATGAAGGTAATATGCTGGTGAGAATTGCTTCTAATCTTTATTTAATTGAAAAGTCTAGCCCTAGAACTGAATGCAGATGAAACATTTTGGAACAATGCTAGAGAAGTCTAGAACTGGGGCACTTCAGAAAAATAAAATAAACTATCAATGTCAGAGTAATCCAACATAAACATTTTGGAACATTAAGTCCATTGAACTTAACACTTCTCTCAATTATTTACTAATAAGGAATGTATTATTCAAATCCTTTACAATTAATTTTCATAAGCAAAATTGTAAATCAATAACATGCTGCAGATCCGAATTATTTTTCCAGCACCACAGTCGGTAGGTTCTCATGTTTTTCAATGGGGCTCTTTTGGAATAGCTAAACAAGCAATTTTTGAGGAAATAGAACATAGAATGAGCAAACTATTTAAGCAACAGCCCTCTTTGTTGTGCTATTAAAATGTATATATAGAAACAACGGTAATATTTCCATAATCATGGTACAATTAATCAGTTAACAACTAAATAACTGGCAAGATATAACACAGCAATTCATCAAGTTAACCACAGACTGAATTCACTCAATTTCAAAATGCAACCACTGTTCCACCCATTATAGAAAAACCGAATAAATGAGGGAAATCATGTCATCTGGCGAAGGTATTCCCATAAAGAAGTACACAAACTTCAGCTACAAATATCTGTTTATCATAAGAGGTCCGAAAGGAAAAACGAAGGAAAGGAACCAATTTCATTGTTAGGAAACATTATACTCTTATGCTTCCGCGTGTTGCGAAGTTTCACCTTGTTTCAAACTTTCCAGAGCAGATATTCGCCGATCCAGGGGCTCATGAAGACTTTTCAGCTTGAAACAAAGGGGGAAACATGGAATATAAGCACACAACATAGTTAAAGAAACTGAACCAATTCAACAACAAACAGGAAACTATTCATTTTCTTAGTATCCTGTTCAGTAAAACATTCTCCATAAATCACTTGTCTAATGAACATCCTGTTAATCTATTTCAGGTCACAAGAGGAAGTTGTGACTCATTGGAATGAGTCTAAATGGGAGTATCAAGTAATAGGATCATTTGATATAAATCATGCATTAGGTGTTAACATTGTTTCTCATACCATACTATCCTTTATGATATCTACATTTTAAGGCTTCATTCTCGTTATGGATTTTTAAGGCACAATAAAGAACAGATATTAGATAAAAAGATTACTAAAAACAGGTAGGAACAACATAAACAAAGCCAGAGTCCATAAGAAAGGCAAAAAGGAGCAATAATCTGGAAATAGGAATTAATACAAGAGTCCGTCCGGCGTTATTATATAGAAAAGCCTCCATTAATTATTTTTTTATTATATAGAAAAACCTCCATTAATTATTTTTTTGAGAAATCATCCCAAATCAGATTTGTTAGAAAAATAACTCTCAAACTAGCAAAAAAGTGAAGTAAAATCTCGCATTTTACGAAAAACGAGTTTAATGCATTTATTAAGCAAAGAATCAAGATGAAACATAGAGACCTGAAAATAAATCCCATTCAAACTAAAAGGCTTCAAAAAACATTTCACTGATTGCAATGTTAGCTAAGCAGAGCGGCATTTTACTAGGATTTGCCTTGTCAAACCCCTTATGCATGAAACTCGAACCTTCAAATGCAAGATATCATTTTTCTCTTCCCTTACCAAACAACATAACCCTGCTACGATTGGGTAGATTCAGACCATGAATTTCAATCTAAGAGAGATCTGAACAACCGACATATTCTTTTACAAAGGAAATCAGTTTCCCAAGCTTTCGCATGCCTTCAAAAACTTTTACAAAAGAGCATAAATCCGAATACCCAGAAATTAGTCCATGATTTCCAAAAGAAATCGAAAGGTAGGGCATTTGCTACGAAAGAAAAAGGGGAAGGGAGAGTACGGAGTACCTGTTGGGTGATGGATTCATGGGCAACCTTGTAATCCTTGTAGAGATGTAGAAACCCAGAAACGACTCCGTTGCTGGCCCCGTGAAGAATGAAGCCAATCTCACCCTCAATACGTACCTCATCTTTGATCTTCCCCCTTCCTTTTTCTTCTCCTTCTTTCTCCTTGTTATGCTATATTTTTTTAAATAAAATAAAATTGATAATCCAATGTTTAGAGAACTATAAGAAACTTTAAAGGACACCTGACGTTGTCGTTTTCGTTTTTGCTCTTGTGGGTTAAATATTATAATTAATGATGTAAAAATTAGTCCGTGTGCTGTTGAGCAGAGGCAAAGCCATTATATATAAAAGAGAGTGCAAAATTTACACGTTTCAGTGTAGAGCAAAACAGCCCACTTTGCCCCCACTTTTTCCGTTTCAAAGAAAACTTAGGGTTTGGATTTCTTTCCTTTCTTCTTCTTTTTCCTGTTTGTGAGTGATTTTGAAGAGGAAAATATGCAGCAGCCACCACAGTTGATGAACATCACCACTGAGCAGATTCAAAAGGTTTTTTTTTTTAATCTTTACAGCATATATATATTTGCATTTTGGTTAACTTGATATTTAATGTGTTTTTTATTGATGGGTTTTGCATGCGTTGTTTTTTCTATTTACCATCTTTAATCAAATTAAAATTCTGTTGGATTCTTGGCGTTCTTGATCATATTTACGAAAGTTTCACAATCATGTCATTTGTTTGCTTAGTTTCACTGGTTAAAATAACTGAAATTTTCTATGTTCTCTTTTTGTTTGTTGAAAAAAAAAATTGTATACATTTTCTTGGAATATTGATACGATAATGGATCATGTTTCTTGTAGTACCTGGACGAGAATAAGGAGTTGATTATGGCCATAATGGAGAACCAAAACCAGGGAAAAATGGCTGAGAGTGCCTCGTGAGTGACCGTTTTTAAACATCGTTCCTCTTATACTTTTCTCAGCATTATGCCAATTGTTATAGGCTCTTTGCCGTCCGGTTTTTGTTTGGCTAGCAGAATATTTAGACCAATTTCATTCATCCATTACTAGCAGCATTATACCAATTGTTATAAGCCCTTTTTCGATCTTCCTGTATGTTTAGACCAATTTCATTCATCATTACTTACAACATTATACCGATTGTATAGACCCTTTTTCGATCTTCCTGTATGTTTAGTCCAATTTCATTCATCATTACTTACAGCATTATGCCTATTGTTATAGGCTTTTTTTTTTATCTTCCTGTGTGTTTCTTTCATTTCACATTTAACTGCTAGAGAAAGTTTGTGAATTTACTAGGCCTCCTATTGGTTGGCTAATCTTTGAGATTGAGTTCTTCACCCGAAACATTATTCTTTGGTAATTAAGTTTTTAAGTTGAATGTGCAATTCAGTGCTAGTTTAGCACTTAACTTGTAGGCTTTTTTTGTGCTATCAAAGATGCATATAAAAGTTGATGGGGCAAAAACTTGAAAACGACATATACATGGCCACTAACACTTGGTCATCTATATTTTAAAGATTAGATGAATTATTGTTTATCATTGGTTTGCCTATAATTTAAGAAACTGAAGAACAGTAACCACCATGGTGGAAGAACTAGGGTAGATCTGTGTATTTAAGTCTTTGTGAGTAATGCAGTCAGTTAATCAGTACCGTAAATTATGTTATCTGCTCTCATTTTGAAAAAAATGATTCAGGTATCAAACAAAACTGCAGCAGAACCTAATGTACAGCCACAGTTGCTGATGCACAGCCACAGGGATCAGTATCTTCCCAGGTTGTGTCTTGGAGCTTTCTTTGGTTTAATATCTTTGGATGAGCCGATATGCATTTTATTTGAACTCATTTGTGGAACATTGTACACGCCTCAGCAGCCAGCAATGCAGCAAGAGCAACATGTTCAGTCTACACAAGCTGCAATGGCTAAGCAGCATTCAGGTTTCTTAGCTCCAAAGTTGCCTTTCCATTTGAATGATCAGCAGCAGCAGCAACCTGAGCAGCCGATGTATCTCCAACAGCAGCAACTTAACCAGCCGCAAGTGGGGTTACGATCTGCTGCACCCGGTGGCACATATCATGGGGTGCAAGCTGGGATCGGTAACAATTTCATGAACATTCAAGAAACAGAAAATATAGCTCAGAACACGGTGCGGGCGAAGGCTTCAGAAACTCTGCTTACGGCCAACGCTAGATAGAGTGAAAGCATGAGAGCATAAATGATGTAAACATGGCTAATGCTAATTCCCTGGTTTTCATATTTTGTAGAGCCGTTCCAGTACTTCTCTGCCTCTAATGATTTGTTTTTATTTTGGTAGGCGCATACATGTGTAGGGGCTTTGGTTCTTTTGTCATCTCTTTGGTTGAATCTCGGCAATATATTTGCTATTAGTGATTAAGATAATCGTTTCAAAGTTCCATTATAATCTTATACAGGATAATGCTGCTGCAGTTGTCCTACAATGGTACACCTCCATTAAGTTCGGATAAAATTAAGGCACAAAACACCACTGATAAATGATCTTCAGCTCTCTGCTGGAATTTAAGTCATATACCTGACCTGCTGTTTCTCAACAAATTTTGAGTTAGACTTTCCATGAACAGAAGCTAATTTTCAGGACTTGCAGCATTTGATCTATCAAAGTTCCAGTAGGACCTTACATTTGTGAATGATAATGAGCTGCATTTTTAGATATGGCTACATACTCTGCGAAAATTGTTCTCATTCTTCACAAGGTTGAGGTAAATTGACGGCAGGACCTTCTTTGGTCACTTAGGCTGCTTCATTGGAGTTGTCTCAACGGTGATACAGTCGTTGGATTTATTGGTGAAAAATTATTTGGGACATGGAATGGGCCATGGCTACGCCCACCCTAGATACGCTCTTCGACTCATGGGAGGACTCAATTGATGATATTCTTATTTCATTCGAGAACAAGCACAATAGGAAACTGTTCTATAGTATCTCTTTCTATTAAAGGTATTTGTGGGCATGACCATGTTTCATATATATTTAGTTGATATGAATAGAGTTTTTAATATTTTTAATATATATATATATATATATATTTAATTTTTTTTTGTAATTTAAATTTTGTTTTTAGTATTTTTATATTTATTTTTTAATTATTTTATATTTTAAATGTTAAATATTTTTATTTTTCTAAAAAATCAAATAAGCCATTGAACTTTCAAGACAATCAATTTGGTCCTCGAACTCAACCAAAAAAAATAACTTAACCCATCTACCACATCATTAGCCACCATAAGTCGACAGACTAGTATTATGGGATTGTCTCAGGAAAGGCGGGTTAATATACGGCTAATATACGGCGCTACCGGATACATTAAAAGATATTTAATAAATTCGGTTTAGCGCTACCGGAAATGTTGACTAATAATAATGTAGTAGGTCTAAGTCATGAAGAAATATTAAAAAATTGTGTAACCGGCAAACTTAACTTGTCGGTTCGTGTCGATCCAAATTAAAAATGTGTCGATCCAAAACGATATAACAGGTAAAACTATGACAAAACCGGTATTGAAATGATAAAACCGGTAAAGCGCTACCAGATACATTTAAAGTGTCGGTACTTTAATATAAGGATCGACACTTCGTGAATTTAAAAGAGAAGCAGTTTTAAATCCTATAAAATGTATCGATCCAAAACGATATACCAGGTAAAAATATGATAAAACCGGTAACAAAATGATAAAATCGGTAAAACGTTACCGGATATATTGAAAGTGTCGATACTTTATATAAGGATCGACACTTTGTGAATTTAAAAGAGAAGCAGTTTTAGCGCCTATAATGTGTCGATACTTTAAAAAATATATCGATCCACAACGATATAACAGGTAAAAATATGATAAAACCGGTATCAAAATGATAAAACCGGTAAAATGATACCGGATATATTGAAAGTGTCGATACTTTCGTAAGTACGTGTAATAAATTATCGACACTTTCAAAGAAATAGGTAATTATCCTTTCCAAAGTATCGACACCTGACATAAAAGTATCGACACTTTTGTATTTGTATCGATTAAGTATAAATAACATATCCGATGAAAATATAAAGGTCATAGCTAAATATCCTCTGAAAATAGATAGAACAGACGAGTTTTTGAAATCGAAGCGTAATTGTTGCTGCATTTCAGAAGGCGTTTCTAAAGCGAAGTTTGTTTGTTTGTTGCTGCTGTCGAATCGAAAAGTATGTTGTCGAAACCCTAATTTTTTATTATTACAGTAATCACGATAGGGTTTTTATGTGTTGTTTGGGGTTTTGGAGTAAAGATGCATTTGGGACCGATTGCAGGTAGAAAGTGATATTCAAGGAAAAATATAAATGTCGATACTTTTATTAAATATTATAGGTAGAAAATGATATTATAGGTTGTATAAATGTGCCGACACATTTTGGTGTGGCCATTCAAATTCTTTTAAAGAAAACCGTTTTACCACAAGAGTAGTTATCTATATTTGTATATTATATAAAGTGTATGTAACAAAATAATTTGATTTGCGTAAACTGATATATGAAGGAAAAATGGAGTCAATGGGTTGGAAAATTGTTGGTGGAGCAGATGACTTTGAAATTGAGGCCGAGACTCGAAAGCAACCAAAGGGTGGATATATGTACTTCTAGTAAGTATCAATGTCTTTTTGTTATTATTGTTGAAATGGTAATTGGATTAAAGTATCGATAAACTTTAAATTGATTACAAATTTTAAATGTTGACAGTATGGCCGAATGCAAAAGGATGAAGGAAGATGGCACACAGAGCGGTTCGGTATGTAAAATGAAATTGACATTGAGTAGTATTTAGTGTTAATGTATTGATTAAGAAACGTTTATGTTTAATATTAGGTGACAAAAGATGTGAGGTCCAAATGGAATTCAATGAGTGATGCTGAAAAGGAACCTTACATCACACAGTCAAGGAATGATAGTAAAGAATACAAAGAACGGAGGAAAGCACATGAAAATAAGGTATTCATTAAACTTGTAAATACGTTGATACAAAATATATAAGAACTATAACATTATATATTGTTAAAAAATGTAGGAAGTGTCAACAAGATGCAGCATTAAAAGGGTGAATTCATTAATTAAACACCTTAAGGAGAAGGGTCAGTTGAATGTGCTGGGAGAAATAGGTTTTGGATCATTGGTAGGAGTAAGGGATCGACCTATTCGGAGGGAATTGTGTCGATCCTTGATGGCGCAATTTGATGTCAGACAATGTATTACTAAGTATGGTGATTTTTCATTTCCTCTCGGGATCCCATGTGCTGCAGCCGTATTGGGGGTAGAAAATTAAGGCAAAAGTGTTGTAGAAGTCTGTAAGAGTAAGGACTGGAAAGCACTTGCCTCCAAATATGGTTTGAAGCAGAAGGTGACATATGCTGAAATTAAAGAGGAAATAAAAAGTGGATCTTACGTTGGGGATGAGCTGAAGGCCAAAGTTCTATTATACCTTGTCGGTATCTTTCTTTGTCCAACGGGTAATACGTCAACGAACAAGGAACATATGAAGCTCATTTGCGATGAAGGCTTGAAGGGTGAATTCAATTGGGCTGAATATATCCATTCGAGATTAATTGAATCAATAATCACCTTTAAAAAGGGAAGCCAGAGATACCTCAAAGGGTACATAGCAATCTTAGAGGTAAATGAGTTGAAGAACTTTTTTGTGTTTTTATATAAAAATATAAATTTTATTATAAATGCAGGTTGCACTGTTCGATTTTTGGTCGGGCTGTGAGGCAGTGCCGACTTATGAAAGAACCAGAGTGGCACGTATCCGTGCAGGGGGGAAGGAAGAGGTGGTTAGAGTGATGGTGAAGTTGAAGTTGGATAGAGCGAAGAAGCAAGAAAGGGTAATAAATGTAATTAAATAATATTAAGAATATAATCAATGTCTTAATATTGTAATTTAATTTTGAAGGTTATTGGCAAGGATGTAGAGGAGGCAGAGGAGAAGAAAGGAGAGATGGTTGTATTGGGGGATGACGGTGAGTGGGACGACGGTGAGGGAAAACATAGTAACTTAGACATTTTGATGTCTGAATTGGCTGATATCAAAAAAATCCAATTTGATATCATGCAAAGACAATCAAGAGTCGAAGAGAAACTTGATAGAGTCGAAGATACACTTGAGAGAGTCGAAGATACACTTGAGAGGCATAAGGGGGTAGTGGAAGGAAAAATAGATGGAGTGGTGAAAGAAGTAGAGGTGTTGAGGGGTGAAGTGGTGAAAGAAGTTGGGGTGTTAAGGGGTGATATTAAGATGGTGACGGGTGAAAAATTTGAGGGAGTAGTGAAGGAGGTTGTGGAATTGAGGAGTGAACTTACGGGGGTGAAGGGGGTGGTTGATAAATACTTGGATGAAAGAGATCAATTGAAGGGTGAAATAAAAGAGATGAAGAGCTATGTAGAAAAAAAATACGATGAACTGAAAAAATATGAAGAAGAAAAGAGGGAGGAGGAAGGAGAAGAGATGGAAGAAATGAGGAGGAAGGAAGTCGATGTCATTTATACACCGGAGAGTGTTATAGCAGCAGATTTAGATTCGGAATGTCCTGCACCCCAGAAGAAGAAGCAGAAGGTAAGTTGAATAAAAGAAAACTTAATTTGATTTTTATTATGTTGTTGTGACAAAAATTTGTATGCAAAATTGTAGGTTGAAAAAGCGGATATTCCAAGCGGAATTGATGACATCGAAGCTGCAATTTGTGATTATTTATGGAATAGTGAGTTAGAATCGGAGTAAGTGAAATATATTGCTTTGTGAGTTATATTTAAATATTTCATGACAACATATTAATCCTAATGATTCATACAGATATTCTGTAATTTCAATGGGAAATCAATTCGCTAGTGTATACGACGTTGCAACGTTGAAGCCTACGAATGGGTTGGCGGTGTGGTAAGTAGAAAGTAGAAAATGTTAAAACTTATTGAATATGTTCTGATTGTGTAATTAATTTTGTTAGGTTATTGATTTGCTCGCCTGGACAGTATGCTACGATTCTCAGAAGTCATTCCGGAGGATTGGCTACCTTCCATACCACTTAGCGGTGAGTTAAATTAATAAATGGAGATAAGTAGTGTTATAGACGGTAAATTAATAATGTTTGTTGCGTAATTGCAGCAGCAGGCGTTGGATGCCAACAACAAAGAAAGTGTTGAGAGTAT